TTAAACTTAAATTACCATTTTTTGTTTGTATTTTTATTTGTATTTGATTTATATATTAATTAATTTATTGATTTATTTATTGATTTATTGATTTATTTACTTACTTATTTATGTATTTGTGGTAGAATTTTATTTTAATTTTTGTTGTTGGTTGGCTGGTACTCTGGCTTGCTCTTTCTCTTTTTATTCCTCCTTTCTTGAGTACGTTACTCTCTAGTAGTAACACATCTAACTTTTGCAGCCTAGGCTTTATCGCTGATTTGAGTGCCGTTCAACTCTAACAAAAACTAAACTAATTTTACCTATCTTTCAGTGCAACTGCCTGTCTAGTGAAAAAAACAAAACATGAACTCCCTAAAAAAAATGCTGTTTTTTAAATTAAGTAAACGAAAAATAAATTGCTCCATTTTTAGGATTTAACCCTATCCGTAGGTCGTGTTTTACTATCGTATCCTTACGGCATAGGGAACTCAGTACCACCACTTTCTAAAGAGGAAATTTACTCGTTAATCCGATCTATACACTTTGCATTGCAGTCTGTCAAAATCTTTTTAAAAAAGAAATACTGAAAGTTTCATAGAGATCTTAGCACTAGAAGTATTCTAAACTGTGAAGAATACAACCTCGGGGGTACAAAATGACCCCAGGGCGTACGGATAGGGTTAAGCCAGGATCATCCGCAACATAACCCGATAGGTTAACACAACCAGAGTAGCTGGGTGCCAAATGCTGTGATTATTAGATTGTTTGTATGTTATTATGTAAGTTTAGTGTACTGACCACCGAGGGTGCGGTGGCGGAGCGGTTAGTGCCATCGTCTCCGAAGCGGAAAGTCGGGGTTCGAACCTCGGTTAGGACACGGATTTTTTCGACCCCTCTTGCCCACCCAGCAGTAATGGGTATCTGATTTCGAGTTTGGGAAGTAAAGTACCATAATATGCTGAAGGCCCAGGAAGTTGTCTCACTAACAAGGCAATCCCCAATATCCGGATAGGAAGCGGGAACAACTTTACTTTTACTGCCCGCCCCACCCCTCCCTCTCGACCATACACAGATTTTAATTACATCGTTATTTATGTTTCCTGGACGAAAGACCACACACACCACACACACACACACACACACACACACACACACACACACACACACACACACAGACAT